TCCAGAAAGATGCCATGCAAGGCAGTGTCCAGAAAGATGCCATGCAGGGCAGTGTCCAGAAAGATGCTATAAAGGGCAGTATCTCAGATTAGAAATGGAAATACCAGCTTAAGAAGTTAATATTTTATCCTTAGAGGCAAGAGGATGCCACTGAAGGTTTCAGAGCAGAGAAGTGCCATCTATAATTAGATGTGTATTTTAGGAAGATTGTTCTAGCAGAAGTGCGGAAGACAGATTAAAGAGATCAGTGGGGAGGCTACTGTAACAGTAATGTGGCGGCCGTATGGATCATCTAGGGATAGATCCAATCCCCTCGTTTTACAGATGAGGAAACTGAGGCTCAGAGAAGGGAAGACACTTGCCCAAGAGCACTTAGTAAGTAGCAGGGCTAAGATCTGAACTATGACTTCTGAATCTTCTTAACACCCCCTCCTCCATTCTTCTTCCAGGAGGTGGCCGGGGACTTTGAGTGCACATGTCCTCGGGGCTTCTATGGCAAGCGGTGTGAGGTCATTGGAATGACGTGCGCTGATGGGCCCTGCTTCAATGGGGGTACTTGTGCCGATGGTGGAGTCCCTGCTGGCTACACCTGCCGCTGCCCACCAGGCTTCCATGGATCCAACTGTGAGAAGAAGGTGGATCGCTGTACCCTACAACCTTGTCGCAATGGTGAGCCTCGGGGAAGGAGGGTGGGAGGACTCAGAGGGACCTCCAAGATCATGCAGACCACTCTCCTCATCTAACAGGAGAGGAAACTGAGGCCCAGAGATGACTGGACGATAGGCTTAAAACCAGAAACGATCTAGTCCTATGCTCTCATTTCTCCGATGAGAAAACCGAGGCCCAGAAAGCCACAGTTGGGGTAGTTTCCTAAGGCCATGGGTAGTAGGTGGCAGTCAGGGCTTAAATCCAGGTCCTCTGACTTCACATCTTCCCACTGTACCATGGGCTGGAGTTCTGGGGCAGAGGGACCGACAGGAGGTATACGGGCAGCTGTGAGGCTCGCCCAGAAGGACCTGGAGACCCAAGTCCTTCACCTTTTCCTTTATTGGGGAGTGAAGAAGAGGGAGGAAATGCCAAGAGAAAGCCACATTCACGGGGTGGAAGGAGGGAAGGGAAAGGAAAGCCGAGAGGAACAGGAGCGAGGTGATTTGGAAGAGATAAAATGAGGCTGATGTGATTGGATAAGATGCTCTCAGAGGTCCCCTCCAAGCCTGAGATCCTTCGATTTCGTGGCTTCTCCGACTTGGCGCGCATCTTCGAAAGGGGACTGGTCGAGCTGGGAATGCGACTTCCGTGCGTCCCAGGCTCAGCCTAGACAAGAGGGGGACGCGCCACCCGGGGTTCTTTCCGTCGCAGGTGGTCTTTGCCTGGACTTGGGCCGCGCCGTACTGTGCCGCTGCAGGCCCGGCTTCGGGGGTCCGCGATGCGAGCGCGACCTGGACGACTGCGCGGGACGGCCCTGCGCCAACGGGGGCACGTGCGTGGATGGCGCGCACAGCTTTCGCTGCTCCTGTACGCTGGGCTTCGGGGGCCGCGACTGTCGGGAACGCGCAGACCCCTGTGATCCCCAGCCTTGCGCGCACGGTGGCCGCTGCTACGCGCACTTCTCCGGCCACGTGTGCTCCTGCGCGCCGGGCTACATGGGCGCACGCTGCGAGTTCGCCGTGAGTCCCGCACCCAGGGACGCGGAAGGGTCGGAACTCCAGCCTGCTCCCGCCCCACCCCCGCCCGGGCCCCACCGCGGGCCGCCACAAGCAGCCCGAAGCGGGCACTGGCTGCCCCCGGCATTGGGGCTACCCTTCGCTCTGGTGCTGCCGCTGGCCGTCGTGGCTGGAGGTGCGGCGCTCCTGGTTAGAGTCAGGGCTCGATGGCGGAACCCAGGGGCGCGGCCCCTTCCTTCCTCCCCAGACCCTGCCCCTCCAACCCCTACTCCAGCCGACGCGCTCAACAACCTCCGTGCTCGCGAGAGCGGCTCCCTGGCCTCCGCTTTTCAGGGCCTCGGGAACTTAAAAGCGCCCAAGCACGAGCGGACGCAGCCACTGCTGGAGCGCCCCTCCGGGATGAGGTGAAGTTCCAGAGAGCCAGGGCCACTGAATGTTCCCCGCTTCTGCCCGTTCTGTTGTATGGGGCTCGCGGTGCGGACTGAGTCGTTGTCCAATCCGTGATGATCTGAGAGTTGACAGTTTTGCCTTGGGTGGGTAGCGGAAACGCTTTGGGGGAACTGAGGAGGCTGGCGCCTGGGGTTTGAGCATTAGGGGAGCGAAGAGGTTTCAGCGTTAGACTGAGAAACCGGGGAAATTGAATTTGGGTCCTGTGTGTCGCGCCCAGAAAACTTAGTGCTAATCACTAGTCCCTTCGAGTTTCCAGTGAGTTATCTATCCCACTGTTTCTGAGAGTCACTTCTCCAGTCGTAGTGTTGGGGCGTGGGGAGGGGGACCTGGGAGCCTTCCCCCCTTCAACCTCCCTTCCTTCTCCAACAGGGCCGAAGACTGGTGTCTTCCCGGGGACAGCGACCCCCGAACCATTTATGTCATCCCAGACTGCTCGCTCTTTGTCAGAGAGGTGAGTGTTCTCATTTCCCTCCCTTTCAGCCTCTGCCTTCCCCTTCTCTCTTGGCCTACGTCTAAATCTTTTTTCTTCTCCCTGCCCTTGGTCGCTGGTTTCTCCCCTTTACGGAGTTGGAGGCAGGGGGAGGGCTTCTATCCTGAGACTCTTTTTTTCTCCATTGGGTCCTGGGGTGGTTCACAAGGGGGAGGGCACAACTCTGTGTTGCCTCCTGCACCGACGGTCCTGTCTAATCATTTTACCTCTAGGTCTGAATCAGCCCTCCCCTGGACTTGTCCCTCTCTTCTGATTCCTCGAAGACACAGACGTTGACATATTTCTTCTCTGACGGTGTTTCTGCAGACATTTCACCTCTTCCCCCCGACACACTCAAGGGAGGGGGGGGGAAATGAGGCGTCAGCAGGCAGGAAAAGTCTCTCGGGGAAGGGAGCTGCCCTAATCCCTTTGTGGCTCAGGATGCCTGTTCCGGATAAACTCAGTTCTGTATTGGCGGAGTCAAGGAGCTCATCTCTCACTTTGAATTGTGTAAAAAGAATATTTACAACAGTCCCCCTTCCTCATCTTTGCAGATGCATCTATGATTGTTTTTATTTTACTCAATGCCATTTCTCTGTGCGTGGTCCCAGGATCCAGCTCTGGTTCTCTGGTATGGGCTTGGGGGAGATGTATAGACTAGTGTCAGTCAAGGTTAACCTCTATAATGTTCTTAGGAGGTTTTCAGTTGGAAGTGGGAAGAAGGGGGACAGAAGATTTAGAAATCCTACCACCACCCTCCTGCCAGCGACATTGGTTCTAGGAGAATCTCTGGGGTTGTGAGATAACAGCCCCCTAGAAAAGGTGGGACAGAGACAAGGGGGAAGGACATCAGCTTTCTTCAGCCCCTGACACGGACTGCAGTTCCCATGCAAGCTGGTTTGAGGCAGCACCACCCAGAGATATGTAGGGAGACCAACCCCTCTGCTCAACGTTCCCCCCACTTTACCTGATGCTTCCTTCACTCCTCATCCCCAGTCTTGACAGAAGGCTTGGATTCCAGATCTCACTGGGAGGAAGGAACCATTGGGCTCCAAGGGTCTGAAACTCTCCTTCTCCAGTGGCTGGACCCAGATTTGAGGAAGAGAGGTTACATTTGGATTCTAACAATAATAAATGATTTTATGCAGTTATTTTGAAATATCTTTAAAATCTTTTGCCGTTCACCAAACTTCGCCATCCTTTTTACTCCCTGCTCCCTGCTCTGCCCAGGTGCTATTTGGAAGCTGGGGATTCTGGTGTTTCTTTTTTTGTTTGTTTGTTTTTGGCGAGGGCAATTGTGGTTAAGTGACTTGCCCAGAATCACACAGCTAGTGAGTGTTATGTTTCTGAGGCCAGATTTGAGCTGGTGCTGAAAGCACCTTCTTCGTCATCAGCTGAAGCTGGGGATTCTGAGACCACATTGGAGGGGGAAAATTTGGGAGAGTGTGTGTGTGTGTGTGTGTGTGTGTGTGTGTGTGTGTGAGAGAGAGAGAGAGAGAGAGAGAGAGAGAGAGAGAGGCAGGTCCTGAGTCGAAGTAATACTGTAGAAAGGCAGCCTGAACTTGAGATCCTGGGACTTGGGTTCGAATCATGCCGCTGCCATTTGTTACCTGGATGGCCTCGAGCAAGTTCTTCGTCTCTCCGGGGTCTCAGTTTCTTAACCTGTAAAATAATAGGACTGAACTAGATGTCTAAGGGCCCTTCTAATTCTCCATCTGTGATCCTATGATTTGGAGTGACCTGGAGCCTGGAAATGTTTCCCCGTTTGCCAGTGACTGTCTTCCATGAAGGCAGGGGACTGGTTGGGAAGACCTTTGCCCAGGGCGCACCCCTACACCTCACCAATGAAACCGTTTCCTCTTGTGACCGAATTCTCTTTCGGAACGGTGGCTGCGTGGCAGGTGGGTGGCTGCGGGGCAGGTGACCGCCTGCGCTCAGCTGTGTTAGGCGGGCGCCGCCGCCCCCTGGGGGCCATGCAAACCGACCACTGCACCTCCAGAGACCCGGCCCCCCCACCCATTTTGCCGGAGCAGCTCAGTGGAAGTCCCAATCAGTCTTCTCCAATTCCTATTCTGGTCATTTTCTGGTAAATGAGGCCTCAGTCTCCGCCCTGCCTCCTCTGCCCCTTCTAGAAAGGGGTTTGAAAGCCAGGGGAGGAATGGCAGGGAGCAGGGGTCTCTGTTCTCCTCCCTAGCTTTATTCTACAGTGTATGGGAGGATGCTCCCAGGATCCCTTGGCCCCTCTTTTTGCCCGCCCTGTGCTCTTTATCCCTCTCTCTGCACCGGTGTCCCCAGTCTCAGCTCTGTCTAGGACAGTGACTCAGCTCCGGGCTCAGTAGGGACCAGACTTCCCCTCCCGGGGCAAGTGGTGCGGTGGTGCTTGACCCCCCCCCCTCCCCCGCCCCGTTTGCATTCTCTGAGAAGAGGCAGTTCGGGGAGGGGGGGGCGGATGCTGAACTTCGGTTCAGGCTAGCTGGGAACTATTCCACTTCTGACTCCCGCTAGCTGTGGTAGCTTGCTGTAAGCACCCCGAGCCTCAGTTTACTCTTTTCTAAAGTGAGGATTTTACCGGTAGTATCTGCTTCACACTTCACTGGGTTGTTGTAAGGATTAAATCCAACAATGTATGTATATATAGTGATTTGCAAATCTAAAGTGATAAAGTAACCAGGTTTTAGTTATTAGAAAGGGGAAACAGAATGACATAACGACAGTCTGGTTTTTGTCTTTTCCCCTCCTATTCACTGATATCTTTATCCCTGCCTGTCTTTTTTCATTGGACCTCTCTGTTTCCGTCTCTTTATCTCTCCATATTCCTGTCTCTTTCTATCAATCTCTTTCTTCATCTTTGTCTATCTCTTTATCTCGGGTGTCTCTGCCTCTGGCTACCGTATCTCTTCTTCTATGTCCTCGATTTCTCCAAATCTCTGGTTTCTCTTTTCCATCTGACTTCTCCGTATCTTTGGACGGGGACCTGTTCTCTCTGTCTTCGCCTCTGTGTCTTTGAATTTGTCTCTGTATCTGTTCCAGCGATTCCTGAAGTTACCATTTTCGGGTGAGTGAGTTTTCTTCTGAATATTGTTCCTTGATGAAGTGTGAAGATGTGTGTGTGTGTGTGTGTGTGTGTGTGTGTGTGTTTGGGGGGGGGAATAATATCTGTGGCCCTTTTGGAGGAGGCAGAATCTTCCAACCTGGGCTACCAACACCTGGCCGATTCCCTCTTCCTCATCTCTAGTTCACCCGACTGAAAAGGCAGCTGAATGAAATTTTCCCAGAACGGCTAACCTTCGTGAGTAGACTCTTCCCAGGCTGGGTGGAGGACACTTCCTTTCCCCTCTGCTGACATCTAGCGCAAGATGACTCAATGTATATATTACATAGTGGGGTACTGCAGACACAAGCTTCTCCCCATGTCCCTCTGACCTAGGTTGAAGAGCGGGTACCCCAGCCCTCTGAGGATTTTGAGGTCTTTGTAGCAGGCAAGCTGGTGCATTCTAAAAAGGTGAGATTGGACCTGGAAAGTCCCCTGGCTTTGGAGTCAAAGGTTGTGGGTTTGAGTTCCAGCTTGGCCACAAAGCATGACCCAGGGCAAGTCCTTCACCTTTCTGGGGCTCTACTTCCTAATCCGGAAAATGGGAATGATAATATGCTACCTAACTTCCCAGGGCTGCTGGGGGGGGGGGTTGCTTTGCAACCTTTAATGCGAGTTTTTACTTTTTTTTTTTTTTTTGTTCCAGGCTGAGGGAAAACAGGTGGGAGTGGTGAGAAGCATAGCCAGGGATGGGGGCTGAGTCTGGGGAAGGCTGGTTGGCGGAGCGTGCTTCCAGGGAGTTGTTCCTCTTGGTTTCCCAGGGAGGAGATGGATATGTGGATGGCTACTTGAATCAGTCAAAACTGGTCAATGTTGTGGCTCAGATCCGGGCAGCGCTGAAAGACTTGTAACTTCACAGCTGAACCAACACAGATGAGGATGGAAGGCCTCACCCACCCTGGAATGGGAGAGCTTGGGCTCAGACTCTAGGGAATAGGGAGGGGGGAGAGACGCCAGAGATCAAGCTTGGGAATTTCACCTTCCGATCACCTTCCTACCAGCTTGTCTTTTTCCATCTCCCTCTTCTCAAGTCTGGGGCAAGCTCCTCCCTCTCTCCTGCTCCAGCTTAATGACAGGAAAGATGGAAAATAACTTCAGACACTGGATCCTTCTTTGATGACTGCTGGACACCGGGGGGGGGGGGGGAAGATGTAACAACAATGTGCCCCTTTTATGTTCTGTCTGTTTTTATTAAAAATGGGGAGAAGCAGTATAGGGAGCGGAAGGGGAAAAGGGTGTGGGCGTCAGAGGACCTGGCTACAGATCCCAGCTCTATTCACTTGCTGTGGCTGGAGATTTCTTTCCATGGGCCTCAGTTTCTTCATCTGTTTAACAAGGGGGTTAGACTACATAGTCCCTTACAGCTGTTAATGCTGTGAGACCCATGAGGGCCTCAGGCTTGGAAGCTGTATCATGAAGGATGCTTTATGGGGTGAAGGCTCCTGCTGTCTCCTGCTAAAATGTGCTGCTTGAAGACTCAGGCAGCAAGCCATCCTCCTGGGAGGGTTTGGGAGCCTGGCTTTGAGACCTGGACGTTCCTGCTGCCTCCGTCCCTGGAATGCTTCTATTGGTGAGGAGGATAATACCCACACCATTGATCCAGACAGGCAGGCCCCTAAAGAAGATGCCCTTCCACCCCAGCACCTGGATTCAGTGACAGAAAACTGTCATTTCATTCACCTGTGCCATAACCCAACAGATAGTAAACATTAAAAAAGTTTCTGTGAACTTATTTAAATACAAAATTGGAATGAGAACGATAATAATCATGATAGCTATAGGATATAGGTTCTTTTTTAATTAATTAGTTTTTAGTTTTCAACATTCACCTCCATAATATTTTTTTTTTGTGAGGCAATCAGGGTTAAGTGATTGCCCAGGGTTACACAACTAGTTAAGTTTCAAGTGTCTGAGGTCAAATTTGAACTCAGGTCCTTCTGACTCCATCTAATGCACCACCAAGCTGCCCCCTTCCATAAGCTTTTGAGTTTTAAACTTTCTTCCCCCTCAAGACAGCATGCAAGCTGATATAGGCTCTACATATACATTCCTATTAAACATATTTTCACATCAGTCATGTTGTAAAGAAGAATTAGAACCAATAGAAGAAACCACAAGAAAGAAGAAACAAAACAAAACAGAAGAAAAAAAAAGCAAATAGCATGCTTCGATCTGCATTCAGACTCCATAGTTCTTTCTCTGGATGTGGACAGCACTTTCCATCATGAGACTTTTTGAGATGTCTTAGATCCTTGCATTGCTGAGAAGAGTTAAGTCTATCAAAGTTAGTTATCCTACAATGTGGCTGTTACTGTGTACAATGTTCTCCTGGTTCTGCTCATTTTACTCAGCATCAGTTCACGTAAGTCCAGGTTTTTTTCAAGTCTTCCTGCTCATTTCTTATAGCACAATAGTATTCCATTACATTCATACACCACAACTTGTTCAGTCATTCCCCAATTGATGGGCATCCCCTCAATTTCTAATTCTTTGCCACCACAGAAAGAGCTGCTATATTTTTGTACATGTGGGTCCTTTTTACTATTTTTATGATCTCTTTGGGATACAGTCCTAGAAGTGCTATTGCGGGGTCAAAGAACATGAACATTTTTATAGCCCTTTGGGCATAGTTCCAAATTGCTCTCCAAAATGGTTGGATCAGTTCACAACTCCACCAACCATGCTTTAGTGTTCCAATTTTCCCACATCTTCAACATTTATCATTGTCCTGTTTTGTCATGTCAGCCAGTCTGATAGGTGTGATGTGGTATCTCAGAGTTATTTTGATTTGCATTTCTCTAATCAATAGTGATTTAGAGCATTTTTCATATGACTATAGATAGCTGTAATTTCTTCCTCTGAAAACTGCCTGTTCATATCCTTTGACCATTTATCAGTTGGAGAATGACTTGTATTCTTATACATTTGACTGAGTTCTCTATATATTTTAGAAATGAGGCCTTTATCAGAGACACTGGTTGTAAAAATTCTTTTCCTGTTTTCTGCTCCCCTCCTAATCCTGGTTACATTGGCTTTGTTTGCACAAAAACT